ATTTCAACACTACCAGATACTCAATTTCAATTAGGAAGATGACATAACTAATGACACGAACTTTTCTACTTAGGTGTTTTCTAAATTAACGTGGGTGTCTTTCTTCGAGAAATTTTGATGTTTTTGTGTAGAAATTTACTCTATCTAGTGTCGAAGTATGTCAGTTACGAGCTGAAACTTGTTTATATTTTCCCGTCGAACTGTCCAAGCAATGAGGTAGTTAGCAGATTACCATTGATTTATCTAGTTGGGGTTTCTAAATGTCAATCCGAGTACCTGTAATTTACCTCAACGTATGTTACCATATTCCTTTTACATTCATGCTCTCCAATCAATTTGAGACTGACGTGTTTTAAACAGAAGACCTATTGTCAGTTGTTATTGTGGTAATTAGCTTTTGAAGTTTTTTCTTGGTAGCAAACATTCTATGCACGTAGCCAACTTTTTTTTGTATATTTTTTTTTTTTTTTTAGCAAGAAACATATACATTACTTATAGATAGATGCTGATTCATTTATCATATAGTTATGATTGTGTCATGTGGATGTGTGACGTCGGTGGTGATCCAAATTAAAATAATAATAATAATATTCTGATAATTCGCGTTCACAAATTTTGAAACTTGAGGTTCATTTTTGTAACGCGGTCAGGTGTTGACATCCAATGATTTATAGTATCGTTTTATATTCCACCTATCTTACTATCACATTATCTGAATTAAAAAGTTATTACGTTTTTATTCCCAATGTAAATAGATACAATGTCTGGGAAACATGTTACGTTCATCCTTGTGGTCTTTCTCTGGCACTACGGAAGTTCCCAAGTTCATCCGCGAGTTCGTCTAGCCGGAGGCTGGGAGCCTCATTCAGGTCGAGTTGAAGTTTTCTACAATGGAAACTATGGAACAGTGTGTGACGATAATTGGAGCATTGAAGCAACGCACGTCGTCTGTAAAGAACTTGGTTTCAGAAAGGGGGAGACGTTCCATTACGATGGCAGATATGGCCCAGGAGGTGGTGAGTACCGTGTTATTCTTCTGAAACGCTTAGTTTTCAAAATAGCGCTAATGAAAATAAATGGTTACAGTTGAGCAAGACGTTCTGCTCGGACTTCCAGCCGTTGATCATTATAAGTTGACTTCCCCCAATCGCGGGGAGCTAGCGTACCATCTTAGTCTATTGAAATGTTTAAATATTAAGCCTACTACTAGGTTGTTTATATATTTTTTGTTTTAGGGGAAATTTTATTGGATAACACACATTGCAATGGCGATGAACTGTCTATTTTCGATTGTGAGCATAATCCTATTGGGCGCCATGATTGCAGTCACGCTGAAGATATTGCTGTCACATGTGTTCCATTACCGATAACGGAGCCACCCCCACCGGTACGTACTCAACATAACTGTATAATTATTATTGTTTATTATAAAACGAACAAGGTGCCGTAAATGGAGATGACGAATCAAGTTTTCACTTTGTATACTCCTCTAAGATATTTCGTTAACTTTATCATCATCATTATCATCATCATCCAGGGATGTCACCAGCTTTTTGGAGTGCCGTTTCGT